CTCAACCACCACAAGAGTCACACCCGTAATCTGGTGGGTGTGGTTCTCAAAGACAGGACAAGCTGGAAAGTCTGGTAATTTGCTCCAGTTTCACAGCTACCAACTAAAGAATAGAGATTTGAAATCAAATTTGTCTGATTCTAAAGGTTTTTAATTTCAGACCATCCTTTGTGATTACTCCAGGTTTGTTGAGTGTGCAAGGCCGTAATTATATATACCTTGGTTCTGCAAACTGGTTGCAATGCACAAGGCAGCCCAGCCTTACAAATGCGAGAGTCCCAATGCCTAGAACAGAACCTACTTATGAATTGGCAAGTGCTTGAATTTATAAAACTATGATTCTCCTTGCTTTAATCATATTCTTGAGCTTTCACAGTCCAGTGATCGGTGCTCCCTTTCAACACCAGCGCTGCCCAGGCTGAAGCTGTTCTCCTCAGCTCTTTCACTATTCCCTTGGGAAAGACAGAACCTTCCTAACAGCAACAACAGGCCATTGAACAAAGCAACTGAAAGATGCCAGCAGAGAAACTGAGGTTACCTTTGTGGAAAACAAGGGCTCTCCCACTGCCCTTTTCCAAGAAAGACACACCTCTCTGTGCCACTGGGAAGCAGAAGGGAGCTGTTGTGTTTGTACACACAGGAGAAGAGGAGGGGTCCCCGGGTGCCCAAGGGGCACGGCAGGAGTATAAAGTCTCCTCTGCTACATGAATTCCTGAGGGACTGAAGGACGGTAATGGCCAAGGATGGAGGGATTGGCTATTAGAACGAGAAGGGAAGGAAGCAGCCTTAATGATGATCCCTGCAGAATGGATTCTGAAACCAACCAATCAACGAAGGAGATGGGGGGTGAGGGTGGGGAGGGCAGGAGAGCCTGTAGACACACTGACCTATTCTCTTTAGTTCCTCTGTGTGATGATGACAAAGCTTTTACCTAGTAAGTGTTCTGAGTTCCTGCACACAATCGATATGAGAGCACTTCCCTGATCTCATTACATTTAAGGCTGTAAGCTGTTGTTCATCCTCTCCAGGTAGAGTAGTATGCTACAGGCTAGAAAAGGTTTATTTCTCAATACATGTCATGCTGTTGATTTAAAATTGAAACTAAATACATGAAAGTTACATGGGATTCCGACCTTCCTGTATAGATGTCTACAGATGTAAGGTTTCATTTTGGAACATTTCATGAGGCGTCTAATAAATGTTCACCTAACAGTCTCTGATTCTCTACAATCCCTCACTACATGAAGAATTTATTGGTTGTAATCTTACTTAAATTATAATTTTAAACATTAAAACTATGTATTTTAAAAGACAGTTACCAAACCAGTTCAGTGAAAAATACGGTAGCTGAACAGTTTTGTTTTTATCAAACATGTTTACTCAGCTCACATGCATACTGTATGACCTGTCATTTTAGACATTCCTGATACATTTTAGAACTCTTTTTTGAAGGCTGGTAAGACATCCTATTAACAGGAAACATTTTTAGTTTCCTTAAAACAAGTGTTTTGTTTTTTTTTAAGATGGGGACATTTTGCAAAGAAAGTCTCTTAATATTAACTACTCTTGATGTTCTAGGTAGACTTCCAATAGGAATATTTGAAGCATCCTAACAGAAGTGGCTTTTAAAAATAATCATATCGTGTTCTAAGCCAGGGTTTCTCAACATCAACACTATTGACATTTGGGGTCAGGCCATTCTTTTGTTATGAATGACCATCCAGTGCCTAGTAGAATGCTAGCAACAGCTCTGGCCTCTGCCCATTGAGTGCCAGAGCACCCCTTCTGCCAAGGTGTAACAACCAGAAACCATCTCCCGACATTGCCAGTGCCCTCTGGGGGGCAACACTGACCAACTGGGAACCACTTTTCTAAGCTATCAATAAGATGCCCCAAGGTAAGAAAAAGTAATGTCTTTTATTCCACTTAGACTAACATTTCTTTCATTATCCTGCCTCCTCAAGCCATGTCACCACCTTTTTTTTTAAAAAAAAAAAAAATGCCTTTACCTTGGGGCAGCAAAGATTCCACTGACTATTTCCTAAGGCTTAGCTGGGTTTAGGGAATAATCCTCTAGTCTAGAAAAATTAGTGTCAAACTAGGCTTCTGAGGACTAGGGGTATAATCCTTTGCATTTCCAATGCAGGAGGTGAAGAATAAGGAGGAATGGGTTTTCTCGTGCCACATTAAATTTAGCATTCTATAAATGTAGGCTTCACCTCCACAGGCTCATAAGCACCTAAATTCTGCCTTTATTTGACACCCTAATCAATTTTCCCAACAATCCCTCCTCCTTGACCAGCAGACCAAAAAAATGGGCAAACTATAAGGTTATGTTTTATTTGAACAGCACTCTGGGTAGAACAGAAGTAATGGCTATAATGATAATTTATTTTACCTTCATCACAATTACTAATAATAATCAATAGGGGGGGGAAACAGTAATAGAAGCAGAAAATGACAGCAGAAGTCTTTTTGTTCAAACTTCTCACCATACAGATGTCCTGAAGGATGCACATATTTTGAAAGGTACGTCCCAATAGCTACTGTACTAGAACCTGGGCCAGCCACTGTCACCTAGAGTAATAAGAGGGCATGCCCTGGTCATTAGAAGTTTACTGTCTTTTCTGCTGTGTCCATCCAGGGCTCTGTGATCACTCTGCAAGACAACTCATACCATGGTCCTCATCACTTTTTTAAAAAATACATATTTTATTGACCCCTTACAGAGAGGAAGGGAGAGGGACAGAGAGCTAGAAACATCAATGAGAGAGAAACATTGATCAGCTGCCTCCTGCACACCTCCTACTGGAGATGTGCCCACAACCAAGGCACTTGCCCTAGACCAGAATCGAACCTGGGACCCTTCAGTCCACAGGCTGACGCTCTATCCACTGAGCCAAACCAGTTAGGGCCTCATCACTTTTTTTAGAGTTCTCACTTCCCTTCATCTGAGTCCCCCAGCACAATCTGTATTTTGGACCTCCAGAACTATTTCTGATGGTTGCACACTCACAATCTCAAAGCCCTCTTAGATGCCAGCTGACAGTAGGTACAGTTGTCACTTCCCTTTTTTTTTTAGTCCTTCCACAGATGGCACAGGTTTCCAGAGTTGCCTTCATCCTCATTTCCCAGAAGCCTGGGACTTGGTGGCAACACCAACTCCCCCATCTCTCCTCCCCCAGTTTCCAACCCTAGAAGCTTCTTTCCTTCTTGGGGTTGGTGGGTGCAATCTCTCCTAGTCCAAGAGGCGTTTTTACATAAAGCTTTTTGCACTTAGATGTTTGTTTATTCTACTAATCTGGTCTTTCCAAGCCACCTGTATGTGTGTGTAACTCGGGGAAGGCTGGAGGGGGGGTTAACACCCCTCCACCTCCACCCACCCATCCCAACCGGTAAGTGCTGGTTACTCTGGCCGGCATCTCCTTCCCGCTGGCCATTTGGAGCCATCGCGCTTCCCGAATCCGCGGGGCACCATCACCACATCACCTGCAGGGGCAGCAGAGTGAACTGCGGGCCTCCGGAGCGACGCCCCGGGGAAGGACCCGCGGATTCCGGAGCCCCTCTAACCGCGGGGACCCCCACCTCTCGCAGTGGAGGGCCGGCCGAATCAGAAGAATGGACAAGGCTAGCGTCCGATTTGGGGAGGTGCGAGGGCCAGGGAAAGGTTAGAGACGAACATCATCGGACAAGCAAAGAATGTGACCCAGGGGCAAGGAGGTAGGAGACACGCAGGAAGGCACGTTTCCCTTAATCCCCTCCCGGGGCTGCCGGCGATCCGATCGCAGAGACCGCCTGCAGCAGCCGGCGCGACCCCGGGCGGGCGATGCGCACACACGCGCCCGCGCACCTGCACCCTCACTCACACGCCCCCCGCCAGTTGCACGCTGCAGACTTCTGCCCGACTTCCCCGCCCCACACACCGCACTTCTCGGGCGAGACCCCAGATCCCCCGGACCTGGAGCGGGCACCACACCCCTCACCCGCCTGGAGCACACACATTCAGACCCCACATGGCAACCAGCGGGTGCCGGGAACCACCAAAGGCAGCGCCCCTGTCACTGACCACCTTCCCAGCAGCCAGGTCCGTCCAAATCTCCCACAAGCCAAACTAGATGGAGCCTCCGGGCGACCCAGCCAGGTAGGAGACGGATGAAGGGCCTGGGTGCAAGGGGACCTCAGAGAAACGCTACTAAGTCACTATTGGGGGGAAGGGGGGAGCGCACGGAGCCTCCAACCCTTTCGACCCCACCAGCCGCCCTGTAATTCCGTCGGATCCCCGCGCGGCTTCCTCCTCCCTCCACCCAAATCCCTCGGCGGTTTTCCTGCCGGCCCTTCCAGGCCACTTTCTGCATCCCTGGTTCCCAGCGTGTGGCCTCGCGGACTCGCCCCGAGGACCTCCCTTCCAGGCTGCCCCTCTCCAGCATTACATCGTCCTGACCTGGTAGAGCTTCTCGAAATGATCAGGATCCACTTGTTCTCTGGAGCCCACGATACCTTCCTTCTACCGGCGTCCTTCGCTCTAGTTCAAATCCGCTTGCCACGCGCCCCACTTTCCACCCATCGTCCCTACCGCCGCTCCGGCCAAGACACCCTGTCCTGTGCCCCCCATACCGCATTCTCAGCCGCTCCCACCCTGCCCCCGGGAGACACCCCCTTCCCCTCTGCGGCTGCTCGCGGCCAGGCGCCCGCATCCTCAGCCCAGCCTCCCCACCCCGCACCAGCCCACCCCCGGCCCCTCTCTAGCCGCGGGGTCCTTCCCTCGCTCCCCGACCACCGCGGGACCCCGTCCAGCCCTCCTGCCGGGCCGGTCCCCTCGGCTCCAGCATCCCAGCGGCCGCCCGCTTTGCCAATGGCCAAGAGGCTCGCCGAGGCGCCGGGCGCAGGGGACAGCCGCCAGCCAGCTCTCCCGGGCGCCAGCCGCGCCTCCCGCCTGCCGGCCTGGGCCCCCCGGGGGCGCCCCACCCCGGCCCCACCGTCCAACCCACCCACAAACTTACTTGCGGGTCGCCGGGAGGGGGCTGCGGTGAGCGGCGGCGGCGGCTCCGCGGCGGCGAGTGCGCCCCTCTCGGCGGGGCTGGGCGGCGCGGCGGCCGCGTGCGCTCCTGCGGCCGCGCGGGGAACGGGCTCAGCCTGACGCAGCCCGGCGCTGCCCCCGCCGCCGCGGCCTCCGAGCGGCTGCAGACATGCTCAGTGCCCGGGCCCGCCGGCGTGGACCGTACCAAGCGCCGCGGCGGCGGGGGAGGCCGCGAGGACGCCGCCAGCCCGAGCTACGGCGCCCGAGGCCCCGGAGGAAGGGGGGGGGGCGCTGCGCCTCTAAAAATAGCTCCTGCGGAAGCCAGGGCTGGGGCTCGGAGCTGCACCCCCCCACACCCCCCCTCCCCCGCGCGGGGGGCCAGGACCAGAGCGCGCGGCCGGCGAGGTCCCTGCCCGCGCTCTGCGCTCCAGGCGGGGGAACGGAGCCTCCTCAGCGGGCACCGGCGCCGGAGCGAAGTCCGAGGCGGCCCCGATTTCGGGCTCCCGCCATCTAGAGAAACGGAGGACAGGGGGGTGAAAGCGATGTGGAAGCTCCCCCACACGAAACTGACTCAAAGTTTGTTGGATACCTGCAATGACTAGAAGGAAAGGGCGACATTCAACAGCCCAATTGGGGATGGGGGTCGGGGGCGGCAAAGGGCTGCGTGAGGCGGGCTGAAGGGGGCTCTGGAAACAGCTTCTAAAGTGTAGAAATCTTTTGGGGCGTATATGGCTCCTCATTCCGCAGGGTTTTGCAGAGTTCGCTGACACCCGCCCTGACCTTGGTGATCTTGTTCTTGTTATGGGAGCTGTTACTTCCTTCCAGACGTGCGCCCTCCGCCCTCCCTCTACCAACCAGGCTGTAAATTGCAATAGGAAAAGGGCGCAAACTGGAGACGGGTCCGTTGTGACACCTGAACCGGACCCTGGCCCTTTGGTGACCCTGGGAAAGGAGGGGCCGTTCCCGTTGCCAAGTTGGGGCCTGGCTGTGTCCCATGTCTCCTGAGTACTTGCAGACTCTCCATAGCTCAGAACCAGGGCACCTGCAAGTTAACCCTCCCCGCTATTATTGTTCAGGGTAGTCCACCTTGATTCCTGATCATCTGCTTCCGATCATTTCCATTCTGCGAGGGACAAGTGTTTCCTGGGTGAAATTCACTCCCCACAACCCCCCATAAGAGAATCATTCTTATCCCCGTTTGACAGACGAGGATGTTGATGTTCAGAGACCTTCACCTGTTGCCTTGAATAACATAATACGGTGTTGAACCATGAATCTGTTACACTAGAAACTTGCATGGTTTCTGCATAACCTAGTCCCCTGAATCAATAGTTTTACCTGAGATAGGACTGAAGAAATTTAGGAATTATTCTCCGAGGAATACTAATCATTGAAAAACTGCTGGTTATGAGTTTTGTTCTCTATTATTACCCCACCCCCACCCCCAGTTTTTTTCTGGGCATTCACAGGTTAGATTTTGTGTATTCTGTTGAAAGTGACTGTGTTTCATTTTTATTTATTCAGAGAGAATTTACTGAGAATCTCCTAGGAGCAATGCACTCACCTGGATGTATTTTGTAATATATCTCAGTTTGGATTCTTTGCTAAAGCTACTTCCTTTTGTCATTGTTACAAATTAGTGAGATTCTGCTAAACCTACTAAGTAATGTAGGTCTTTTCCACAGAACTGTAGTGGTATGTGTCTTTTTGGGTAAGGTTGTTTTCCCTCCTATGTTGCCCCCTTCCCTCCACATACAATTTGATGCCGCATTCAACCCAAAATAGATGATCAATTAATGTTTGATCTTTTACTTACTTGTCTCCAGCTCCTTGATTCTCTTTTTCTGTAGCGTGTGTCTCCAATAGATGGCACCTCCAGAACTAGAGCCACTTTGTAATAACAACACCATTTTTGTAATCTCCCATGAGAAATCAAAATGAAATTTCCTCAGGGTACCAGCACAACTCACTCATTCCTACCTGTAGGTAGTGAAAAAAAGATGAAAAACACACGTTACCTTCATCGCAATTGTTTTCCTTCTTCCTTTCTCAGTAATTAATCTTAAAGTGGTTATGATTGTCTGAACATCTTCATACTACAGCATGAGCATGAGGCATAATCATAAAACAGGGGTAGTTTGACTTCAAAGTTTAGACTTTTGAATTTCCTACCTAAATATGTAGATCAAAAATATAGTGCATTCAGGACTTTTATTACCAAGTGACAAACTCAACTCTTAAGTAACTTAAGTGGATAAAGAAAACGCATTGGGCCATGTAACAAGGAGTGGCAGGCTGATCCACGGCTTAACATCAGCAGAAATGCTCACTTGCTCTTAGCACTGCTTTCTGTGTTGGTCTCATTCTCCATCAGACTGTGTCCATAGTGCAGGTCAAGCCCTACACAGATGACAAAGCTTTCGATCTTGCAAAGAAAGCAAACCTCATGCTCTAATGAGCAGATTAAAAATTCAAAGTTAGTCTCTTAATCACTCTGTTACCTGGACTCTAAATAAATAAATAAATAAACAAACAAACCTTTACCTGTCATTCCTTTCAGGCTTCCCTCCATATGACCATACTACCATGTAACACAAGTGCTGACTACATCAACCCAAGCTGCAAAAACAAAAGTGGAATTGAAACCATGTCAAACTTGCCCTAAGAGTTTGTTATTCTTACAAAGTTATCACCAAGACACCATGCATAGCTAGTTCTGAGAAATTAGGATAGTCAAGAACCAGGATTTAGGCTACTTTACATTTATATGAAACTAGAGGCCTGGTGCACCAGATTCGTCCACTGGTGGGGGGTGTGGCCTATGGCATCAGACCACTGTGGGAGCGCTGCTGATCCCTGTCAGCCTAACAGCGCTCCCACCGTAGGAGCACACTGACCACCAGGGGGCAGCTCCGGCGTTGAGCATCTGCTCCCTGGTGGTCAGTGGGTGTCATATCAACTAGTTGACCGGTCATTTTGGTCATTCCACTGTTTGGTCGCTGGGCTTTTATTATATAGGATGTTTTAACACTCCCTTTTAGAGGTCTCACTTTGATACTTCAGCTCAAATAGCTGGAAAGAAGCTAGATAAATTCTGTTAACCATGTATTAGTTAGTTATTAAGGCATTATGACACCAGGAAACATGGATATTTATGTTTTATCCCTTTATGAGATAATACTGTGCTATTTAGAAAAGAACTTAAGAGAATTCAATTTTTAAATTCATAATCACTTATTGTGCATCTGTTATTAGCCAACCACCATACTAAGCCCTAGTGATATTGTACTACAAAAATATAAGCATGCTTTTATATCCTGCTTTTATGGAACTTTTTTACAAATGAGGTAATTACAAATGAGGTAGGACTTTAAACACTATAGAAGTTCGGCCCTGGCCTGATGGCTCAGTTGGTTGGAGCACTGTCCCATACAACAAAAGGTTGTGGGCACATTTCCAATCAGGGCACATACCTAGGTTTCAGGTTTGATCCCAGGTTGGGGCATGTACAGGAGGCAACTGATAGATGTTTCTCACATCAATCTCTCTCTCTCTCTCTCTCTTTCTCTCTCTCTCTCTCTCTCCGTTCCTCTCTCTCTAATATCAATAAAAACATATCTTTGAAAAGGATTAAAAACAAATTTTAGAAGTTCAAGGAGCATATGACCTGAGAATTTAACCAAGTCTAGATGGACGGAAGTGGCATTTAAGCTGAGACTAGAGAAACAAGTACAAACCTTTATTAAGCACTTGCTGCATGCCAGGCCTGCATGAGGTGCTTAATCCAACCTGACAGATATTCTTTCAGATGATCAGATCATTACATGTCAGAACTGTTTCTAAAGCTTTTACTCTAGGCAGAAATTGAAAGTCTAAAATCTACCTTCCCCAAACATCCCTGTAGTTGGGTTCCCAGTTACAATTTCGGCTCCACCCATCAGAAGCACTGAGTAGATATTTTTGTTAGTTATTTTGTTTTTATTGTTTTGTGTGTTTTTTTTTCAGAGAGGAAGGAGATAGAAACATCAATGATGAGAGTGAATCATTGATTCGCTGCCTTCTGCACGCCTTCTACTGGGATCGGGCCCCAAACCCAGGCATGTGCTCTGACCAGGAATCAAACTGTGACCTTCTCGTTCATGGGCTGATGCTCAACCACGAGACACACCAGCCAGGTGCACCCAGTAGATTTTGAAGTTGGAACTGCGTACCTGGAAGGGACAGGACGGACTGGAGACTTGCTGGTACAGCAGGTGTGACAGTGTCTTCCTGATCCGGGATAATAGCTTAGTGCTGTGACAGTAATGCGATCCCAGCTGCAGTGGTGTGACTTTGGAGCTAGCAGTTGGCATAATGTCTGAGAAGCTGCACCTCCCTTGTGGCGGGGGTATCCGCTCTCCTGGTGGGCCATGTGTGTGGAGTTGTTCTGAAGGTATGAGGGGCTAGAAGATGTGAAGAATGTGGGGTGGGCTGACTGCCTAGAACTGTATTAAAGAGCATAATGAAGGAAGAAAGGTTTACGAATTTAAAATTTTAGCTCAAGGCATAGCCTGAGAGAAACAGTCTATGTGGATTCTAACAAAAACACTTACCTCATATGTAATTGATAGGCTTACTTACATATTAAAAGGTCAGATGTGAATTCCAATCTGTGGATCCTTGACTTACAGTTTAGTGTGAATTCATGGCCCGAAAACAAAGGGTTGATTAGTAAAGTGTGTGATCCCAGGAGCTGAACTGATGACAAATATATGTGATGGCACTTGGAAGAATTACTCTGTATTTCCAAAGCCCCAAATTCCACCAAGCCTTATATGTCTGTAGAAACACTTATCTTTGCCTCACCTATAGATACCGAGGCTGAGGGAGTTGCTTTGAAAGATAATATTTTTTCATCCACCTCTCCAACTCTCCTCTAAACCTACAGTACCAGCATGAGTGAAATCCTAGCCAAAGAAGTAGGGTGAGGTGTGAGGGCAATTACAAAGCCAACTCAAATAGGAGTTCCGCCTATTTACAGAGGACACTAGTTGACCCTGGCTGATGTGGCTCAACTGACTGGAGTGTAGTTCCATGCACCAAACTATCTCAGGTTCCATTCCTGGTCAGGGCACATACCCAGATTTTGGGGTTGATCCATGGTGAGAGTGTGTA